GAGCGTTCCACAAGCAGTTCCCGGACAAACCGGGAGGCCTCCCGGGGAAACCGGGAGATCTCCCGCCGGGGCCGGGAGGTGGTGGGTAAGTTGGATTTTCAGGTGGGCAGTATGTCAGCGAGCTGCCATTTCCTTGGGACGTGTCCCATCCCCCTCCCTGTCTCCCAAAGCCTTATCCTGTTCATGTAGTGCCTCTGTAACTGCCAAGGTCTCCAGCTGGTGTGATGTGGTGTTATGTCTTGAAGCTCTGGCTTGTTTAGGTTTCCCGTGTGAACTCAACCTGTGTTTATGGAATTGGCCATTGCTGTTCTCAGCCCGCTTCGCGCCTTTTCTAATCTGTGAACCTGACGAGGGAAATATGTTCATTGGTTTAAACCTGGTTTGATTTTCCTTTTAATACACCTTCCCTGGGTATTGTAGTTATTCTTAACAATCTCTGTATGTTCGTGATCAACCATGCTTTGGAAATAAATCTTTCTTCTTTTTGAACGTGGATCTATTCTCCTGATTTGGGATCTAACACTTAGGCTGTTGTAATTTGTTGAATACTGCCTTGATGGTTGCGGTAGAAAGGCAGGATACATGTGCATGTATGATAAACATTAATTTCAGGTGCTTGTAAGTAGTCAACGTATCTAATTCTTAAATACTTAATACTTAAATAGAAAGACAGGAAAGCCTGGCGGGAGCTGGTCCATGGGGTCACGAAGAGTCGGACTCGACTGTGCGACTGAACAACAAACTTAAATCTACAGAAGCATATGTATGGAGGCATGAGAGGAGGTGGCTGTCATCTAAGCCAACCTCTAGTTTCTTTAGAGGAAAACACGGATCTGAGAGCCGTACCGTACCCTCCTGAGTAAACAGAAAGGGAAACCTCTTAGCTGGGATAGACAAGAGGTTGCCTGTAGCCACAAGGATGTAATCTATACTCACAGCTCTTTGTAGTTAGCATCGTATAGAGTCGCCCACTTGTTCTGCTGATGTGGCTGCCATTTTATAGACTGGTAGTTGGGATCTAGGTAAGAGCCATTCAAACTGTCATTGTCCTGAATCAGGCCTGTGACAACAGGAAAAAGATATGTTTAAGTGTGCCCATCAATGCCCCCTCTAAGCTGTGGAGTCTTGTGAGCAAAAATTCTACTTTCTGAGCTACTGGCATTAAAGCTGTGAGCAGGTGATTTGGCTACTGTAGAAATTAGTTTGCTCTGGAGCCATCCTTCCTGAGCGAAGAGAAAAATGTGTGAGCCGGAGGGTAAAAAACTGTGAGCTAGCTCACATTAACTCAGCTTAGAGGGAACACTGGTGCCCATAAACCAACACATGCTTGCACTGTTGTTGTAAGAAAGTTATTTATTCCTATCCTGCCTTAGATGTTCCCATAAACGCTAGCTATTTTGAAACATTTCTAACCTAGGAACAAGAACTTTTTCTTTCATTCTCTCTGTTTTTGATTGCTGAGAACTCTCTTTTCCCACTGTCAGTTTGCCACAACAGAACACTCCCACCCCCAAGACACACGGCCATTCTGCTAACTCCATGCTGGCATTTTCCCACCCATGCTGGAGCGCTTCTCCCCTTTTGGAATGCGAACAATATCTGGATACTGGTAATACTACAAGGAAGCAAGGGCAAAGACTACATACCTGGTGAGAGAGCCCCCTGCTGATGCCAGGGAGGTGTTTGGACTCTGTCATGGTTGAGTGGCACAGACCCCGTACCTGGCTCCTGCTTTATCATCCCATTCAGCATCTGGGCATTAAGAGTACTTGGGGGAGACTCTGAATGTTTCCTTTTCTTGGCAGGGTGTACTGGAAGGCTGTGGGGACCAAAAGCATACACTGAGACAGAAGGAGGCTGGCAAGAGAACATTTCGGGACCAAATTTTTTCATTAATGTGAGCAAAAGGGCCAAAGGATACTACTGGAATACAAGGAAAGCATCAACAGGCTATCCCATATTTTCTGTGGGCATATAGCAGGACATGGATAAATTGCCATCTGTTTGAGCCAATATGGGATTCTGATTCCAACCAACCTGTCACGGCTCAGGTGGGGTATCATCAGACGCTGCCACCACTCTGGTTCCAGGCTCCCTTGAGAAGGCCCAGAGCACCCTCCCAAGACCTTTAGACCTCCCTTTTGGCTGAATAATAGGCGTGAAGACCAGGCAGAGTGAACAATAAAAATAATTTTATAGGAGGTCGAACAACAAGGTGCAGAATAATAACAGTAAGTGGGTGAAAAGAAAAGAAACCAAATGCCCTAACGTGTCTAAACATATACTGTCCCTAGCTCACTATTCCAAGTGGCACTAGACTACTCACCCTTCCCTCAGGATGAGGGTTTCTTCCCTGCAGCAGCCTTCCTTCTGACTCTGCTCTCTTGGAAGAAAGAACAGCTTTTCCTGCTGCTCCAGATCTTTTACTCCAAGCCCTCCTCTTTCCCTATTGGTCAATTTTGGCACCAAAACCTCTCAGGGGCTTCTGAGAGTTGTAGGCCCAGCCTCACCTACTGCTAGCCAGGCTCCCTGGGCCTACTAGGCCTCTGGTGGCACAGCCCAGATCATGACACAACCAGAGACCATCTCTCTATCACTCTCTGACCCCACAGTCCCCACAAGGAATATCATAGTGTCATGGAGTCCTACAGTTGGAAGGGGCTTGATAAGCTGTCTATTCTAAAACCCTGTTTTAATGCAGGAAATCGAAAACTAGCATATTCTCAGCAGATTGCAGTCTAGCCTCTGTCTGAAGAGGGAGGCACAGCCACCCCCACCCCGACAACTGAACTGCTCTTACTATTGAGAAGATTCTCAGTGAGATAGATGCTCACATGTTCGATTATTCCTCCATACAAAAACTTATCTGCACACAGAAAGCCAGTACGACAGGGAAGAACAAAAAGAAGAGAAGAGATTGGATTAATACCCCGCCCTTTGCTACCCAAAGGTGTCTCAGAGCGACTTAGAAACTCCTTTCCCTTCCCCTCCCCACAACAGGCCCCCTGTGAGGCAGGTGGGGCTGAGAAAGCTCTGACAGAAACTGCTCTTTTTCAAGGACAGCTGTGCCAGAGCTTGTGACTGGCCCAAGGTCATCCAGCAGCTGCAAGTGGAGGAGTGGGGAATAAAACCCGGTTCTCCCAGATTAGAGTCCGCGCACTTAACCATGACACCAAACTGGCTCTCTCTTGCCCTTGAAAACCCTAGCCTGGGAACAGGCTAGTATAATCCTAGTGTAGTGTAGATTTACATCCTCCTAAATCTACTGAGCTGCGGTGGCTCAAGTGGTTAAGATGCTGAACTGCAGGCTCTGGAAGTTCAGTAGTTCAGCAGTTCGAGACCCGGGTGCCGCATGATGGAGTGAGCTCCCGTCTCTAGTTCCAGCTCCTGCCAACCTAGCAGTTCGAAAGCAAGAAATTGCAAGTAGATAAATAGGTACCACTTCGGTGGGAAGGTAACAGCGTTCCGTGCGCCTCGGTGTTTAGTCATGCCGGCCACATGACCACAGAAACGTCTTCGGACAGCGCTGGCTCTTTGGCTTGGAAACGGAGATGAGCACCGCAACCCTAGAGTCGGATTCGACTGGCTTTCGAGCAAGGGAACCTTTACCTTTAAATCTACTGAAGTCAATGGGTCTAGAAGGGTGTCACTCTGCTTAGGACTGCATTGTGGAACACTATTCTTTGACATCTGGTTTTCTATCAGTGGGAACGTTTTGTACAGAGGAACATGTAATAATGTAAATCCAAATGCGAGATTTCTACTTGCATGGTCCTTTACAGGAAAAGCAGCTTCTGGCCATGGCAATGCGAAGAGGAGAAATCCCCTCCCTTCCAAAAAAAACCACTTTTCCCTCCTACATGAGTTTCCAAATACATGTTAGAAGTGGTAAATGGGGAACAAGTTAAACATTCAAGCATAAAGCTCTTGTTTCATATCTCTCCATCCCAAAACTGGGGGGGGGGGGCTAGCAGAAGTTTGTTACATATATATGTATGCAACATCTAGTTCAGCCCTGAATAACTAATACCGTAAACAATTAAATGGATCTCTGAAGTAAGCTTGTACAGTATTTTATGTGTGGCTCAAGTGGTTAAGACGCTGAACTGCAGGCTGTGGAAGGTCAGTAGTTCAGCAGTTCGAGACCCGAGTTGCTGCATGATGGAGTGAGCTCCCGTCTCTAGTTCCAGCTCCTGCCAACCTAGCAGTTCGAAAGCAAGAAATTGCAAGTAGATAAATAGGTACCACTTTGGTGGGAAGGTAACAGCGTTCTGTGCGCCTTGGTGTTTAGTCATGCCGGCCACATGACCACGGAAACGTCTTCGGACAGCGCTGGCTCTTCGGCTTTGAAACGGAGATGAGCACCGCAACCCTAGAGTCGGACTCGACTGGCTTTTGAGCAAGGGAACCTTTACCTTTACCTTTAACATTATTATAGTTATGTGTTTTTTAAGAAGCAAGCACAAAGTGCTCTTAAAATCTTGAATATATCTAAGAGCCTTGCTGAAAACATTTGCCTTTTCTCCTGCTCCATTCCCACAATGAAATCCTTTGTCCTGGCACTATGATGCCACCCAACAGTGGCACTCTGGTGACCACTGCATAAAGGGGAGGGGGGGGGGGGGAGGCAAAAGAGCCTGAAACATTGTCTCTTACAATAGCAGATCGGATGGGGTGGTCTTTAGATCCCTCCTCTGATCATCCTAGCAAGAGAAATACATTCTGCCCTGCCAGTGAAAGACTCAGCTGAGGTCAAATTTCCTGACTTTGGCAGAGAATAAAAGGAGTCACATGGGACACCACTGGAAGGAGGAATTCCAGGGGAAGGGAGAAGAACTGAGCTATCTTGGTTTTAATACAAGTGGACAGTGCAATGGATGGTGTGTGTGTGTGTGAGAGAGAGTCTTTGTAAGCTCATAAAGAGTTGCCCTGTGCTGGATAGCCCAGGCTAGCCCTGTCTCACCAGATTTCAGATGCTAAGCAGGGTCAGCCCCAGTTAGTATTTGGATGGGAGACCACCAAGGAAGTCCAGGGCTGTGACACAGAGGCAGGCAAAGGCAAAACCACCTCTGAGCGTCTCTTGCCCTTGAAAACCCCAGCAGGGGTCACCATAAATCAGCTATGAATTGATGGCAAAAATGCTCATAACATATGTGTTATTAGAACATACAAAGTAACTGATTATTATATTTCCCTGGTATCTTCATTTGCTGCTCCATCTTTTTACCTTCCTTGTTGGTGGGAAGCGCTGTGGATTTTCATGGTAAGGAACAAACAAAGGTGGTTTTACATTCCTTACTTGCAGCTTTTACCATAAAACTGAACTCGGGGTACCATCACTTCACTGAATCAATGAATCCAATGTATTTCTGACAAATCCCAAAGCACTTAAGGTAATTTACTGTATGACCCAAAGAGGAGGATAGCAGAAAGAAGGAAGCAGGGATGAGGGCACAATATGATCTTGTGTGCTTCTCTGAAGCACTGATTGTGGCTGTCCATTTGGGGAAGTAAGGTTGCTTCTGCAATCAGGACATCTTTCAAAAATGTTAGGCTCTCAGATGAGGAAAACAAAATGAACAGCCTGCTAAGAAAAAAACAAAGTCTACACAGACAGAGAGAAAGAATCTTTGGGGGAAGCCACAACAGCTAAACATAAAGATTCGGCAGTATGGTATTCCCAGTAGTCATGTACGGCTGCGAGAGTTGGACTATAAGGAAGGCCGAGCGCCAAAGAATAGATTCTTTTGAACTATGGTGCTGGAGAAGACTCTTGAGAGTCCCTTGGACTGCAAGCAGATCAAATCAGTCAATCCTAAAAGAAATCAACCCTGACTGTTCCCTGGAAGGCCAGATAATGAAACTGAAGCTCAAATACTTTGGCCACCCAATGAGAAGGGAGCACTCACTGGAGAAGACCCTGATGCTGGGAAAGACTGAAGGTCAAAGAAGACGGGGACGGCAAAGGATGAGATGGTTAGACAGTGTCATAGATGCAATGAACACGCTTCAGAGGACGGTGGACGACCGGAAGGCCTGGCGTGATCTGGTCCATGGGGTCACGAAGAGTTGGACTCGACTGTGCGACTGAACAACAACAACAGTATGGTTCCGCATTCTCACATTCAGAACCACAAAACGTATTGGCCCAATTGTCACTGTGCTCACCCCTGCATCATATTTGGTCCTAGCACATGCCCATAACCTCCTGTCCTATTTTATCAGTCAGCATGCTCATCCTTTACCTTCTTACTACTACATGAAGCAAATCCTTTGAACTGTAGCAAGACATCAGAGTTTCACTATCACTCAGGATCATACCCACCATCAGAGCACCAAAGGAGCAAAGCAACCATCAGGAAAACTAGGGTTCAAGCATTCAGTGTTCCCTTCTATTTTTATTCTGTCTCTCCTTGTCCCAAAGACTCACTCTGTTCCATGCTGCTGCAGAAGCTGGTGAAGCATCTGTGACTGCTGGGCATGGTGGAGATCCCCTGGTGCCATGCCCTGTCCGATAGTGAACTGTGGCATCAGTGGCTCAGCCTTCATGTACATGTCCCGCTGCATGCTGGGATAGTGGTGGCTCTGTTGCTGCTGGTGGGAGTGAGGTGGCAGCCCCTGGAGGTGGGGGGGTGGAGGTGGGGGGGGTGGAGGATGCTCCAGCCGGGAAGGAGTCACATGGCACATGTTCTCAGGAGTCATGGTTCGAAGGAGGTGGGGATCTAAAAGATAAAACAGTGGATCAGTTTGCATCACACACACAAATCATCCCCGTCATTAACATTCCTATTTTTGTAGAGTAAGTAAAGCCTAGCCAGCCCAGAGCAGCCAGATTAACCTGGAGTGGAGCTAGTCATGTAGGAAGTAGTATACCAATATAATGAGTGGGGAAAGGAAGAGAAGGATTTTCCTGCAGCCCAAGAGGATATGAATACCAAAAGAAGGATTAGCATGGCAGGCAGCAATTGGCTTAAGGACCCCCTAGAAGGGCCACTAAGAAGTATCAGCCCCCCCCTCCCCCAAGTATTGAGAAGGTGAGATTCGGAAGTACACACAAAGACCAACAAGAAGGAATGCCAGTGTGAGCTCAACATCTGTGGCTTCTCAAGCAACATGGAGTCAATGAGCTTAGGACACAGTGGTAGTTTCTACCCAGTAAACCCTGGCCTAATGCAGCCAGGGATGAGAAGAGTTTCTTTTCCTGCCTTAGGGACTTCGCGTGCCCAGCAGACAAGCCCTAATAATAGAGCTGTAGTATCCAAGGACCCCTCTTAATCAACATTGTGACAATACCTTTTAGCAGCTTTTCTGAAAGCCTAGGGGGATGGTCTATAACCTTGGTGACTCCACCAAGACACTGTCATGTGCTACCATCCAACGAACCTCAAACTGCTGCCTGTCTCCCAATATACTTGCAACTCTGGTCCCTCATCTTTTCAGAACATAAGAACATAAGAACATAAGAAAATAAGAGAAGCCGATGTTGGATCAGGCCAATGGCCCATCTAGTGCGACACTCTGTCACACAGTGGCCAAAAATACAAGGTGCCATCAGGAGATCCACCAGTGGGGCCTGGACATTAGAAGCCCTCCCACTGTTGCCCCCCCCCCAAGCACCAAGAATACAGAGCATCCCTTGCCCCAGGCTGAGAGTTCTCGTCTATACCTTGTGGATAATAGCCACTGATGGACTTCTGCTCCATATCTATATATCTAATTCCCAACTTGCCCCCTCCGTGTGGATACTTAAATCAGCACGGAGGGGGCAGCTGGGGGGCTGGGGGAGGTTTGTGCCCCAGGCTGAGAGTTCTCGTCTATACCTTGTGGATAATAGCCACTGATGGACTTCTGCTCCATATCTATATGGACAGGCCACAGCAGAGAACTCAGACCAAGCGTGATCCACCTGGAGAAGGAAATGGCAACCCACTCCAGTATTTTTGCCAAGAAAACCCCATGGACAGTATCAAAAGGCTAAAAGATATGACGCCGGAAGATGAGCCCCTCAGGTCGGAAGGTGTCCAATATGCTACTGAGGAAGAGCAGAGGACAAGTACAAGTAACCCCAGAAAGAGTGAAGCGGCTGGGCCAAAGCCGAAAGGACGCTCAGTTGTGGATGTGTCTGATGGTGAAAGGAAAGTCCGATGCTGCAAAGAACAATACTGCATAGGAACCTGGAATGTAAGATCTATGAATCAAGGTAAGCTTGACGTGGTCAAAAATGAGATGGCAAGACTGAACATCGATATCCTAGGAATCAGTGAACTAAAGTGGACAGGAATGGGCGAATTTAACTCAGAAGACCATTATATCTACTACTGTGGCCAGGAATCTCGTAGAAAAAATGGTGTGGCCTTTATAGTCAACAAGAGAGTGCAAAAGGCAGTACTGGGATACAATCTCAAAAATGACAGAATGATTTCTGTCCGATTCCAAGGCAAACCATTCAACATCACAGTAATTCAAGTGTATGCCCCAACCACTGATGCAGAAGAGGCTGAAGTGGACCGGTTCTATGAAGACCTACAACACCTCCTAGAACTAACACCAAAAAATGATGTCCTCATCATCATAGGGGACTGGAATGCTAAAGTAGGAAGTCAAAAGGTAACTGGAATAACAGACAAGTTTGGCCTTGGAAAGCAAAATGAAGCAGGGCAAAGGTTAACAGAGTTTTGTCAAGAGAACACACTGGTCATAGCGAACACCCTTTTCCAACAACCTAAGAGGCGACTCTACACATGGACATCACCAGATGGGCAACACCGAAATCAGATTGACTATATAATTTGCAGTCAAAGATGGAGAAGCTCTATCCAGTCAGTAAAAACAAGACCTGGAGCTGACTGTGGTTCAGATCATGAGCTACTCATTGCAAAATTCAGACTTAAACTGAAGAAAATTGGGAAAACCACGAGGCCATTCAGGTTTGACCTAGATCGCATCCCTGATGAATATACAGTAGAGGTGAAGAATAGATTCAAGGGTCTGGATTTGATAGATAGAGTGCCTGAAGAACTATGGACAGAGGTTCGTGACATCGTACAGGAGGCAGCAATCACCACCATCCCAAAGAAAAAGAAATGTAAGAAAGCAAAGTGGCTTTCTGATGAGGCTTTACAAATAGCAGAGGAAAGAAGGAAAGCGAAAGGCAAAGGCGAAAAGGAAAGATTTACCCAACTGAACGCAGATTTCCAGAGAACAGCAAGGAGAGATAAGGAGGCCTTCCTGAATGAACAGTGCAAAGTAATAGAAGAAAACAATAGAATGGGAAGGACTAGAGATCTCTTCAAGAAAATTGGAGAAATCAAGGGAGCGTTCCATGCAAAGCTGGCCATGATAAAGGACAAAAACGGTAGGGACCTAACAGAAGCAGAAGAGATTAGGAAAAGATGGCAAGAATACACAGAAGAACTATACAAGAAAGACCTCGATGTCCTTGACAACCACGACGGTATAATCACTGACCTCGAGCCAGACATCCTGGAATGTGAAGTTAAATGGGCCTTAGAAAGCATTACTAACAACAAAGCTAGTGGAGGTGATGGTATTCCAGCTGAGCTATTCAAAGTCTTAGAAGATGATGCTGTTAAAGTTCTGCACTCCATTTGCCAGCAAATTTGGAAAACGCAACAGTGGCCACAGGATTGGAAAAGGTCAGTATACATTCCAATCCCAAAGAAGGGCAATGCCAAGGAATGTTCAAACTATCGCACAATTGCACTCATATCACACGCTAGCAAGGTCATGCTCAAGATCCTACAAGCTAGGCTTCAACAGTACGTGGATAGAGAACTACCAGAAGTACAAGCTGGGTTTCGAAGAGGTAGAGGAACTAGAGATCAAATTGCCAACATTCGCTGGATTATGGAGAAAGCAAGAGAGTACCAGAAAAATATCTACTTCTGCTTCATTGACTATGCTAAAGCTTTTGACTGTGTGGATCACAACAAACTATGGCAGGTCCTTAAAGAGATGGGAGTACCAGACCACCTCACATGTCTCTTGAGAAACCTGTATAAGGGCCAAGAAGCGACAGTTAGAACCGGATATGGAACAACTGATTGGTTCAGCATAGGAAAAGGAGTACGACAAGGATGTATATTGTCACCTTGCTTATTTAATATATATGCAGAGTACATCATGCGAAATGCTGGCCTGGATGAATCACAAGCGGGAATTAAGATTGCTGGGGAAAAGATCAACAACCTCAGATATGCAGACGATACCACTCTAATGGCAGAAAGTGAAGAGGACCTAAAGAGCCTCTTGCTCAGGGTAAAAGAGGAGAGCGCAAAAGTGGGCTTGAAGCTCAACATCAAAAAAACTAAGATCATGGCATCCGGCCCCATCACTCCTTGGCAAATAGAAGGGGAAGTCGTGGAAGTAGTGACAGACTTCACGTTCCTGGGATCCCAGATCACCGCAGACTGTGACTGCAGCCATGAAATTAAAAGACGCCTGCTCCTTGGGAGGAAAGTGATGGCGAACCTAAACAGCATGATAAAAAGTAGAGACATCACCCTGCCAACAAAAATACGCATGGTCCAAGCAATGGTATTCCCAGTAGTCATGTATGGCTGTGAGAGTTGGACTATAAGGAAGGCCGAGCGCCGAAGAATAGATTCTTTTGAACTATGGTGCTGGAGGAGACTCTTGAGAGTCCCTTGGACTGCAAGAAGATCAAATCAGTCAATCCTCAAAGAAATCAACCCTGACTGTTCCCTGGAAGGCCAGATAATGAAACTGAAGCTCAAATACTTTGGCCACCAAATGAGAAGGGAGCCCTCACTTGAGAAGACCCTGATGCTGGGAAAGACTGAAGGTCAAAGAAGACGGGGACGGCAAAGGATGAGATGGTTAGACAGTGTCATAGATGCAACGAACATGAAATTGAGCAAACTTCAGAGGACGGTGGAAGACAGGAAGGCCTGGTGTGATCTGGTCCATGGGGTCGTGAAGAGTCGGACTCGACTGTGTGACTGAACAACAACAACAACAACAACATAGCATTGGCCTTATTTAAATTGCATTCGCACACTGTCTCGACATTTTCAGTGAGTTATCTATTAGGACTCCAAGATCTCTCTCCTGGTCAGTCTCTGCCAGTTCTGACCCCATCAGTGTGTATTTATAGTTAGGATTTTTGGCTCCAATAAGCATCACTTTGTATTTAGCTGCATTGAACCCCATTTGCCATGTTGACACCCACTCGCCCATCCTCGACAGATCCCTTTGGAGTACCTCACAATCCCCCCTGGTTCTCACCACCCTGAAAATTTTTGTGTCAACTGCAAATTTAGCCACTTCAGGGCTTACTCACAACTCCAAATCATTAATGAACAAGTTAAAAACCATCAGACCCAGTACTGATCCCTGCGGTACCCCAGTACATACCACCTTCCACTGCGAAAATTGCCCGTTTATACTCACTCTCTGGTTCCTATTAAGTACCCATGTTTTGATCCACAAAGTGACTTTTCCTTTTATCCCATGACTATTGAGTGTACTTAGGAGCCTTTGATGAGGAACTTTATTAAAAGCTTTCTGGAAGTCAAGGTAAACAACATCTATTGGGTCCCCCTTGTCCGCATGTTTGTTCACTCCCTCAAAAAACACTAACAGGTTAGTGAGACAAGATCTTCTCTTACAGAACCCATGCTCAGTCTGCCTCAATAGGTTGCATTCATCAATGTGCCTACTAATTCTTTCCTTAATAACA